TTTTAAGATCATTTTAGTGAAAGTTTCATGCTTCAAGGCGTACGATACACTGCTCAAATTCTAAACCAACTGCTTCCATTGCCGAGAAAACGGGCGCTCATATTATAAGGCAAGGTTATAAAACCACCTTTTAAGATCATTTTATTGAAAGTTTCATGATCCTATCTCATATAATTTAAGAACAATGATGAATAAATCATTTTCGAGCAAAATTTAAATGGACGGCTGAATATATTACCGCCGGAGAGACACGGCAGCGGAATTTAAATGGCCGCGTCAAAGGGTTAAACTGAAGAATTAATTTATTCAAGGCAATATTCACTCCCCTTACCTAAGAATGAACTTTTATATTTAACAAATCTATCTATGGTAGCTTAAAATTTCAATTCAGACTGCATTAAGAAGCCCTTAAGGTGCGGCCACACAGAGTGCTACGCTATGTTCGCTACGTAAGCTACACCGCATAGCCACACAGAAAGCTGTGTTTGGTACAAAACTGCTCAGTCCTGAATGAGATGTTGGCTGATAGTATGCTGTGGGGGGGGGGGCAGCGATGATTCCGACGATGAGCTTTTGCTGTTACTTTCCTTGTGTAAACGTAAAAGGAAGTGGGTGCATGGCATGAACTTAAGAAGAACAAAGTTTGGTGAATTTAATTCTCTGATAAAGCAGTTACATAAAGATGAAATTAAATGTAAAGAATATTTCCGAGTGAATGGGGTTGATGAAAATATTGTAAGTTCTTCGCTTATAGATAAAAGAACAATGTTTGTACATTACCTGGTGTATTCAATTCTCCAGAAATCATGTCCCAGGCATTATCCCGCATGTTCTGGTTCCGATATTCTTCTAATCCTTTGTTCCACAGACATGGATACTTCCTTACTTCTTCAATTAATTCCTCCAATGCCATTTTCATCTAAGCGAATACTGCCCTGAATGATACGTAACATGTGTTGTAATCAGAGTGGGAAATTACTGAGGCGTGCAGCTGACACCTGGAAGTGAGCCCACTTCACATGCCCGTCCAGCGCAACATTTTAAAAATATAGCCGAGAATCAAACACTCTGTGGCGCTGCTATCATAGCGAACATAGCGTACAGAAGTCTGTGTGACCAGTCACATTGGCAATAAAGGAAGATATTTTTCTGTTCATATAGCGAACATAGAGTATGTAGCGCTCTGTGTGGCCACACCTTTAGACACAGTTGCCCTCAGTACACTATTGTTGTTCAACAGCTACACACTTCTGCCAGCATTTTTACAGTTCAAAACATTTCTGGAAGCTATTGTGCATGGTGTGTTATTTGAATTTCTGCATGATTTTTGAACTGACAGTTCTTGAGGTTTTGAGTTTGTATGCCATTGTAAGAATTCATAGTGGGGCAAAAATAAAAATACTTAGAAGGAAACAGCAGAAGCTATGTTGGACATGAGAAATAAATGCAGAAAATACTAAGTGATGTTCATATCTTGTAACCAGGATTTAGGACAAAACTGTAACATACGAGTATGAATAAGTAATAAATCCTTTAAAGCTGTGACAGAGTTAAAATATTTATGAACACTAGTAGCAAATCAAAATTACATTCAGAAAGTAATTAAGAGCAGGTTATATTTTAATTCTGAAAGTTTGGAAATTTTTGGAACCAATGTGGAACTGTTAAGGATATAATGCAGTCTACTGAAACTACATCAGTTTAGTGCCAATAATTTGTTTTTCATTAGAACTTAAAACATTTTTTACATTTGAATGATTCAGTGACATGCAAACTTTGAGTAATATTATTTGTCAGTATGTTTATTACAGTCTTTGATGTTACCATTTCAGGTTTCAGTGTACAAGGTGTGTTAATAGGATACAAGTTAAACCTCCTCCAGAGGGAAGTGACTGCACCTCTGACCTGTCGTGCTGGAACCACTGTGCTGACAAACGAGGGTTGGTGGACCTTGTTTTAAAACAGTGCTGGGATGTGGGCATCTCATTTGTGTTTCATCACCGTTCTCATGAGCAGAAAATCATTCCATAGTAATCATATCCCTGGTTACTGACATGTCAACTGTAGAGATGTGAATGCTATAATTGCTATCAAATGAAGCTACAGACTGCTGTCTAATTAGACAATACTCATTTGTTGAAAATCTCTAACACAAATAGTTACTGTTTTGGTGAGTCTGCTAGATACTGAACATGAAGAACAGTATATGTGAGCGCTGTATAGATATTTGTAAACTCTTTTGTATATGACTGAAGTGTGTAGTAAATTATATTACTGATTTTATTGAAAAATGAAAGGTTATCATCAGGGTAAATATATAGCAACTGTCCTAACAGAAAACTCCAGACTCCAGTAAGTCTTTAATGTTTTTTTTTTTATAAGAACTAGATATGTCCAAGCAAATATATGCTGACATAATGGTATGTGACCATTAGTACATATTCTAGGTTAAAATCTCCCTTTCCTATATTGCTAAACTTAAAAATGTTGCTTTTTTATTTCCATTTTGTTTCTGGGTGAGAAAGCTGAACATTAGATGTCAGTGGGCCCCACTCTTAATCATCTGTGTCAGATTTTGGAAACACTTTCTGCTTTCTTGAAATATACTAATGAGGGATATGCTTCAACCTTTTTATTTTTTTACCCTGACTTACACTTTGGAAGTTAAAATTGATTTGTACATACTTTCAGGCATGCAGTGCCTGCTGTTATCAAAATTAATTCTATCATATGTGAAACAGATAAAATAAAATAGTTTTTCAACACATATCATATTGTTATTGTAAATTAATTTTTATGGCACCTTATGCTCATTTCTTCACTTTCCTTTGTTGTTACTGAAGGCATGATTAAAAATAATTAATTATCCCTTTTCTTTCTCACACTTATGATTTACATGTAAGTTGCTGTGAGTAAATTTTGTGGTCATCCTGTTTCTAAAGTAATACATTGAACAGTTTTGATGTCAATTTTTTTAAACATGAGTACTTTCTTTTTATTTCTCCCTCTCTACAGCGTAATGTAATGTAATGTAATGCAGCTTACAGTTCAGATGTTTTTTCTGTGAACACATTCTTGGACACCTTGTGGCTAATTCAGCAGTTTCCTGTAAGAAATAAACAGTTAAAGTACTTAATGTTTTCTTATAATCCAATATTTTTGCTGTACCCAAGAGAGTTGCAACCCTATGCCCATCCACCCACACATTTGACACTGTCCAGAATTATTCTACCAATACATTCACAGCTATTATATCTCATGAACCTCCAATGAAGAGAAAGCAAGGCAAATGGTAGGCCAAACCAATTGTTCATTCAGGGACACATTTTTTTAGTTTAGTGTACCAGAGTTAAGTTGTAGGATTTTAGGTTTCTATGACAGTGGTTGTGAAGAGTTCTATTTTCTGGGATACAGTGCCAGGCAGTCCATTGAAAGCTGTCTGACATTTTGAAGGAGAATTTCTCCATTTTCAGGCTCTGCTCACTATCTGCTTCATGCTGGTTTCTTGCTTGGCACGTTTTTTGAACCTGAAGATGGAAGTGAAACGTTCCGCTGAAACATCGGTTTCAGTGGGCCACATGGCCTTATATTCCAGGAAATATAAATATTTCAGTGTGTCGCTTATTTCGTTACCAAAAGTTACAATTTCTATTAATAAGCTAAAATTGTCCCTGATTGTAATTAATTAAGCACTATGCCATGAAGGCATACGGGGTAGTGGATGTATAGATCTATATTTTCTTGACCTCAGCACTAGTTGGAGGTGAGTGGTCAGCTTTACCCCTGGCACCCATTGGATATGAGGGGGGGAGGGCCCCAGAGCCAGTGTGGAGGACATGAAGAAAATTTGTGACCCTACTGGAACTCAAACTGACTGTCATCCAGCCCATAGCCAGTCACAATACTGACTATGCTATCCCAGCTCATTAATAATTAATAATGGAATTTATTTATTGCACATTTAATTCCTCATGACTGGGTAAGGCAACAGTAAGAAATGTAAGAAAATAATTCTTATGTATTCAGCTTGAGTAGTATAAGAAGGGTAGCTGACCTAGCAGTAACTTAGTGAAGAATGAGAGCAGTGATCTGCTTGCAGATTCCCACAACATTTTGAATAGTTGGAGGAACTACTTCTCACAGTTATTGAATGTACATAGGGTCAGTGATGTTAGGCAGACACTAATCCATACAGCTGAGCTGTTAGTACCTGATCCTAGCCCCATTGAGTTTGAATGTGCTATTATAAAATTGAAACAGTGTAAATTGCCAGGTAGTGATCAAATTCCAGCAGAACTTATTCAAACAGGAGGCAAAATATTATGTTCTAAGATCCATAAGCTAATTACTTCTATTTGGCATAAGGAAAAATTACCTGATCAGTGGAAGGAGTCTATTAATGTACCAGTTCACAAGAAGGGTGATAAAATGTGCTGTAGTAATTATCGGGGGATAACACTGCTATCGTCATACAAAATTTTATTCAATATTCTTCTCTCAAGGTTAAGTGCCCTCCCTTTAACCGTGCCCTTCTCTCCCCCAACACAATATCTTATACAAAACCCTGCTTCTGTTCCCTACCCCTTCCCCCTCCCTCTCCACTGATTTCCCATGTAGACTTCCCCCCCCCTTCATTGCTCTCACATAGCTGTGTTTATTTCCAACACCAGTCTGCTTGTACCGGTTCTCACGGTCTGTTCGCTTGCGGAGTTCTTATTTTTCCTTCTACCCTGAAGATGGAGGCGATACGTTCCTCCGAAACGTCGGTTAACACCACATCTACATGGTGCCACATCCCAGAAGACTGCTTTCTTAATATTAAAATAAATCTTAGAGAGATAGCATGGGATGATATGGATTGGTTTGGTCTGGCTCAGGATAGGGACTAGTGGAGTGCTCTTGTGAACATGGTAATGAACCTTGAGGTTTCATAAAATGCTGGGAAATTCTTGAGTAGCTGTAGAATTGACGGCTCCTCAAGAAGGGTTCAACTCCATGAGCAAGTAAGTAATTACGGACCACGCCATAGCTCAAGCGGTTAGTCGCTGGCTTCCCACCGCTGCGGCCTGGGTTCGATCCCGGGTCTGGTCAAGTGGGATTTATGGTGAAGAAAGTGGCACTGGGGCGGGTTTTCTCCGAGTATTTCGTTTTTCCTTGCCAATCTTCATTACACCAAATTCTCCATCCTCATAATCATCCGGGGCAGGTACTATAGGCCAATCAGTGGCCGCCGTGCTGAAGGGACCCAGCTGGACTCCACACCCCACTAGCGAATTTAAGTGAGTAGTATAATGGGACTGCTTGATATAGTGTTTCGTCGAGGTAGATGTTGCCTCTGGATGTAGATGGCCCTAGTTATAATTCCAGCGCTTCGAGTATGGTGAAGTAATGTGGTTGACCTTCAATGTGAGAATGCAGTTTGTACAATTGTACAGATTGTACAGTGAGTGGGTTGACAATGCGGGTTCGGTCTCAAGCGGTACTAGCGGTCTCTAGCGTCTCTAGGCTCTAGGACCTCTAGTAGACGATAGAAAGGATAGAAAGCATAGAAGGCGATGGAAGGTAAGCGATAAAGAGCGAGAAGAATGAAGAAGAGTGACTGGAGGAAAAATGGCGTGCAGTAGTTGTGTCAACATATATTATTCAACATATTATTGATTTAAATGAGTGACTGGTTGTGTAATTGGTGTTAAAGCGATAAAAATGTCGGTATATTGATAATTTATTTTATCATAGATGATGCCTTCTTTGCGGAAGAAGGTAGCAGGATTTATTCGTCAGCTTTCAGTAAACAATCAGAATGAAAATGCAGATCAAATTGATTCTTCGGGACCATCATCTGGCTGTTTCATTCAAAGATACCTCAGCGGGTAAGTGATATATATTCTCATGTATTGCTTATGCTGTCATTGTGGGATTTTTTTCTTTTGCTAGATTTCTCGTGGCTGTAAATTACATAGCAATTCAGGGTAATGCAAGGTGGCCATGAGGCTTAGAATTTAATATTTTGACAATATAACGAAGTGATTGTGTGTATTAATATGTTAGAATTGCGATATTAACAATGTAGTATTGGCACATGTGACTAGACACAGGGTTTGACGTGGTAACTGGATATATCAAGTTTGATTCAACGCGTCTTGCTGGGGTGTAATTTTCTTTTTGCTAGTTTCGGATATTTTATAAGAATCCAAGAAGTATTACATAGTTACCCAATACATCTCTCGTTTAGTTCCAGTGAAATTTTATTGAAGACAACGTTTTCAGGGAACATACTAAATAAATTGGACATTATTTGTTTCCTTTCTTAAATTGATGTGCTATTTTATATTAAACTCAGTTAAAAAAGTAATCGGTATTATGTTGAAAGCACTTCTTTTGCTTTATGAAAGATTAGGAATTGTTCACAGAGGAAGTCACGTCACTTGCCCTAAAACTTCTTCCATCAAAATCTAACAGTAGTGAGTTCTGAGTTATAATCGGCACTTCTGTATGTCAGTTATGTTCCTTGCATGTGTTGTATCTGTCATAACATAGTTGATTTTATTTCTTGTTTGATCATCGAGAGATATCGATGTTTTCTTATGGACACTTTTATGTGGAAACATCATAATACTTACAACCAAATTCCTGATGACTGTAAAATAGATCATCATTATTCCATTGTTATTACATTCTTGAAGGCCAGTGTGTCCCACATATGGTACTCTAGGATCTCCCACTATATTTACATTCATATCCCCCGTAATTTTGATGTCATGTTTTGGGACTCACAAGTATAACTGGCACAGCTTGCCTGTGGTTTTGTTTGAACAGAACAACAGTGTTCTTTCTTTCCAGGAGGCAAACATCAAACTGTTAACATGTTTAATCCAACATTTCTAACATATTGAAGAACTTTCTTGTATTGCTGTGGTTGCACACTTTGTACATGAAAAGTAGCAGCATGATGTTAGGTGTGAAAGCAAAGATATAAAGCTCTTTAGATATCTACTGCTTTATTTTGCATTCTTTTTTGACCAACCTCTGGTGAAGTAATAAGACTGTATTTTTAATAAATATGGATTTTACTCTTCTTTAGCTTTAATTCAGTGCATAAATTATTACAGTTGGTGCATAAACAAGAAATTCACCTGTCTCTGTCATACTGTGATTTCACTGTGGCAGCAACAGTGCAGTGATGAAAAAAATTCTATCTCTTATTAAACTTTTAGTAAAGAAATTCAAAAAGATTGAGAGAATGTGTTTTTGCCAGTATGGTCTTACCCAATGATTCTCCCATAAATTTAGTTGCAGAATCAATATTAGACTTGTTTTTTATATAGCTGTGAGAGTGCTGTTTAGTTGTACTGTAACAGGCATGATGTGAGGCAGTCAGAACCTATTATCCTTCATGGTCGGAATCCACATGAATTACCACGTAAGAACATTGGGACCATTATCTTGGGAAATCAGTTTGCTGCTGTTACTGGTCCAGATGGGGGACTGACAACAGTTAACAGACACCAACGCCATCTCTCAACAAGTGACCCTGATGTTGATTATATTGACATTCAGCAGCATGTTGCTGACCAGGAGCGAAACAGTACAGGTACTGCATTAGACCTCTTGTAAAACTACAGTGAAATCTCACTAATGTATAATCAGATTACAGATATTATTCCATATCAGATACTGGGTTCTAAAGCGTGGCCCACATTTTATATTTCACTAACAAAACTGCAAGACAATTGTCATTTAACCCTTAATACCATTAATTTATTTGATCATTATGAGAGCCTAAATGTTACTCCCACTCTTATATTTAGGTATTGCTGACATATAACATGATTTTTAATATTAGGTTATTTTTGCTTATAACTGCAACATGTGCAAAGCAAGTTCCAAAATTAGTTTTGTTTTTACCACTGATTTGTTAGCAGCCCATACTGTGATTTGTGTTACACATGTATCTGAAGGGAGCCATAGTCATTTTCTTGGCCTGTTCATCTCACGTGATTGTCAACTTTGAATATATTATATTTTAAATAGAGTATTTGGAAGAAAGGATGGAAAATAATTATTTTGTAACCAGTAAATCTACACTTCAAGAAGCACCATTGTGAGTGCCTAAGACAAACATCAAAACCAACCGTGATAACAAAATTTATATAGAGAGCATTAGTCATATCTAAAGTGCATATTGTTAAAATATCTTATGTGACAGTGTTTCCTTATCGTAGTGGTTCGCCTCTGAAGATGATTCTTTTGAAAAGAAACATGTAAGGTGAATGAGGACTGAAGTGTTGTAAACTCGTATGTCACACTGGACTGAACTTTTCATTATCTACTCTGTATTTTGTAATTATTTGATAAGTAATAGTTAAATCATCATACTGCTCCAGAGATTTAGGTAGTATACTTAATGATCATATGTTTCTTCTTGCATTCATATGCTGGTGTTTATAGTCCTGTATGATCCTGCCATTGTATGCATAGTAATATATTGTTTGACTTAATAAGAATATGTCATTGGTAATCTACATTGTCACTTCAGACAATTTTATTACATTTGTAAATATAGTGAAATTCACTTCTGAAGAAATGAGGCATTTTGTGTTTGTTCATCAAGGCATAATGAGTATGTGCTTTTAAGCATGTGGGTATGTACAAATGACTTTCTTCCCTCCCTCCCATTTCCCCCCCACAAAGAAAAAAAGGAAAACAGGAGAAATTACATTTTGTCTACAAACATTTAACCTACCTTTCAGACAAGGAAGTTAGATGAGCTGGGCATCTAGCATATGTTGGATTAAAGGAACTGATCTGTTGCAGTGTGAATTGGATTGAGATATCTCAAAATTTACATTACATAAATAAGGCAGTGAGAAAAATGTAATTTGTATGACTGTGAGTGTAATGGGTGTCCAGCATTCGGTTATAAATTTGCTGAGTACTGAGGATTGTCAAGATTAAAAAAAGAATGTTGTGCACATGTCTCCATGTGAATTTGAAAATTTACCTCAGATGGTTGAGCCTATCATGAAGTTGCAAGACGTAAACTACAGAAGTGCTGTTTCTCGAGCAGAATGGTTGTTTCTGACTCTGCTGTTTTAGCAGTAGGTGACTCATTTGGTAACCTCTTGTACCCACACAGGGTTTTCAGTCAGTCAGCTAATTGGTAGAATAGTATCTGCTGGGATATAACAACATGTATTCTGTTGACTTGCCACCTGCTTTCACACTGGTATCTGTCTTGGCTTATTCGATCCTGAAGATGGAGGTGTTATGTTCCTCCAAAACATCGGTTGACTTTCAGTGGACTACATGGCACCATGTCCCAGAAGATATTACTCTTCATAACCACAGCTGTGGGAATCTCAGTTCTACATAGCTAATTCCTAGTTTGTAACCATTTTTCTTGCACTAAAGAAGCTAATCAAGGTATGGAAACATGTAAAATGTAAAAAATAGAACAATTGTAATAATTCAAGTATGAAATAGTGTAATTCATTTAAACCACCTGATGATGGACTCTGTAGATGAAAACATCTGGTGGGATGAAAATAAAATAACTCAAATATTAAGCATTTTCATTCACCTACAACTAGTGCCAAGGTCAAGAAAACATGGATCTTTACATCCATTCCTCCATATGCCCTAATGGCATAGTGCTTAATTAGCTGAGCACAGGGACAACTTTGCCTGTTTAATGTATGATAAACCATTGTGTTGCCAGTCCCTTAGTGTATGAGTACCTCTGATACCTGAGATTTGTTTCATATACAAATCTTCATAGAGGAATGGTAACATTTCATTATTGTCCATCCATTGATTGATGCCTGTGACCTGCTACTTGTGTAGGTGTATGTGTTAGATTTTAGCTTGGAGTAGTGACTAAATGAGTAATTTATGATTTAGCTAGGTTTATTCTGGGTTTGTTTAATGTTGCTTTTAATGGGTAAAATACAAAATACATGCAAACTTAAAAGTTTTGCGTATTTTAATTTTAATTTTTTTTAGATTGCAGGTGAAAAGACAAAATATTCTGAACTTAGTCCACTTTTAATTTCTTGATAAAAATTTGATATGTTACTGCCATTCCCAGATATTTGAATGTCACCGCATTTTTAAAAAAGTCACTTGTTTATTCACTGTCTTTATGTTGTGATTTTGTCCTTCATTCTGGTGGTGAGCTGGCAACATATACTTTGCTTTTACTGTGTCTTATAGAGTAACCTCTGTACTAGGTCAGTCAGAGCTTCTCCTTTTTTGTAATTATATTTGCAGTTTGGAACACCTTTACACTGAAATGGTTGCAGATCAGACAACTGTTTGTTTACACTTTCTGCTCAAAATTATCTCTTTAACAACCTTTTAAACTCTGGTTATAGGACTTTAAATTACCATGTATACTTAATTAAAATATAATTGATCATGCTGCTTAAGTCTTTTATTCTGTCATAATAGGTAACTCTACAAGAAAACTGTTCTTTCTGTTGTGGTAGCAAAACATCACAATTAAAGAAAATACATTCTTGATTGAGTTAGGCCATGTTTAAATCAGTGAACAGTGAAACATTAATTGTTTTTTCGTTCAGTATAGATCCATAGTTTTGACCTCACACCAGTTCAGGTAAGTATCAATTAACTGTGAATCATCACATGTGAATTTAATGTTCCTTTACTATAAGAGAAGAATTTATCGTACTGAAGTTCGTAAATGTTAGCACAACACAATTGTAAAATACATTTTTATTAGGGCACCAATGTACTGAAATCACAGATTTTGTGGTAGCATTGATTCTGGTTAAGTTCCTTTTGATGTTAATTGTAGCACTTCATGTACACACATAACTGTTTCACATAAGCATGTAAAACTGTATAACACTTGCAGAAGTTTCAAGAATTTTGTTATGTATAACATAATGGACATTCATATTTAATTACTTCATCATTCAACAAAATAGAAGGCATGTGTGGGCTTGTAAGGATATAGTGTAATATTACTCAATATAATATTTTGGAGTATTTGACAACAGTCCTGAAATACATTAGATTGAGATTTCACTGTGCTTGTGTTAATGCTGTAATTTAAAATGTGGTATAATATGCATGTTTTTCTTCACATAATTTGTGGATGGGTGGGTGGGAAGGAGGGTGGACGGACAGATGGGACGGGCAGACTTGACTGACTGTCAGATATCTTGCAGCTGACTATACCATATGTGCTGAAAAATTGCATTGGTTGTTCCTGCCTTTAGTCTGTTTCAATGTGTTCCACATGATATTTAACCTTTGTAGCATGTCTGCTTGTTGCCATAATAGTACATTCATTGTCTTTACAGCCTGGGTAAATTAGGGTTTAACATGTCTGTGTTGCTATCCATGGTGATGGTTTCCTTCCTCCAGTGTCATCTAGTGACTGTATATTCAGCCCAGGATATGGGCGGTGGTTCACCGTAAGACCACCAGCACATCCCATAGACAACTCGGTGATGCACATCAGGGCAGCTGGTTCTGTGTTCAGCGTTGGCAAAAGATCCGTTCATACAAGCGTGTCAGACCTGCAGACCACTGCAGAAACAGAAGACGATTCTAACTTGAATTTGAGACCTGAAGAGGATACAGTGTTTCAGGCTATAGATATTTTGAAGGCAGATCCTTGTGCTGCAGAAGTGAACGGGAATTCTGAGATCCAAGGAGCAACTGAATCCATATTCAAGCAGAGTTCACCATTAGATTTTGTGATACCACCTCCTGCAGAGTATGCTACTGGTGTGAATTGTACTGCCTTTGGTGGCTTCCCTTCCATCAGGAAATCTAAAAGTGCACCTCTGTCTAGATGCAGTACCACAACAACAACAACCGTCATTGGTAGCCACAGGAATGGTGGTAAGTTTGGTACTGAACTGTTGCCTGCTCAGAAATGTAGCTATTACCCTGCCTGCTAGAATGACCAGCAAAACTCAGCATGTTCAGGAGATATGATACTAAGCATGTTCAGTAACATTGCTCCATCTCTCAATGGCTTCTTGTGCTTGGAAATGCATCAAAGGATTTTACCAGTTTCATCAAAAGATTTAAATATGCTAGGCTGTATTATATTGTTGATACATTTTTGTTGTGTTTGTAGTACTGGGACAGATAGCTTATGTTACTTTTGGGCATTTTAAGTGGAAAATTCCCCTGTTTTAATTAATTTGCTCTGTCTTCTGTAAATCATCCACACACCCACCACAGAGGTCTGTAAAATTTGACATTAGCAAGATTAGCGTTTTCATGGCAGTGAAACTTAAGAAAGTAATCTCATTATGATACTACAGTGAGCTCTCAGTTATTTTCATTAGTGGAGGGGAGAAGTAGCAGAGGTAACCAAAACATTTGGAAATACCCACTATTCATTCTGCATTCAATCTTGAAAATCACATATTTCTTACTGGGCGTGCTACAGGGCATTAAACAGGGTAACATATCTTTCCAGTAATAAGAAGCAGCCCCTTTTCAGTGGCAGTAGGCAAAAAGCAAGAAAGTAATAAAACAGAAAGTAGGAACAGGTTGAGAAGATGTGTAGAGTACTGCAAATTGTTGAAAAGGATTACTGATACATGTTATTGAAACAGAAATAATGGGCAACACTAAACCCTGGAAGACAGCAGTTAAGCACCTATTAGCAGTACACTACAGTAGTATTTAAATGACCCTTTAGCAGACATTTCTTACAGTGTTCTTTAACTATTATATATTTTAGAAATTACTAAGTTATTTTTATGACATTTTCAGGAAGCATAATAAATAGTCTAGACTTCCATGAGCATAATTTCTATTATAATATCTTAACATTATTTTCTGCTAGAAAGTGGCTTTGGTGTGGTAGATCTTGAAGCATTCCTCAAACAAACCTATTCTGATGCAGGAGGTATGTTCAAAATGTTGGTACCAGTTACATAGTGTAAACCCAGAAGACCACAGTCTTAATGTTAGCCTAGTCATTGAATCAATTGCTATTCCCCTGATGCAATTATTGTGAGTTGTTCATCACCACAGCATTCAGCTGTGAATGTAATGAGTATGCAGTTGCAGACAGCTAACATGAAGTAATCCTCCAGCCTGAGGGACTGGGTAGGGGTGCTGCCAACTGATCATAAAGGACCAGCATGTTATAAAATGTTGCACAGGAATCTTACAAAACAGAGGATGGCATGGACTGGATTCATTTGCTTCAGGACAGGGAGCAGTGGCATACTCTTGTCAACAGTAATGGACTTTTGGGATGTATAGAAGGTGGATAATTTCTTGATAAATGAGAGTGTTAGCTTCTCAAGAAAGGTTCCATGAAGTTAGATAATGGAGTTGTATGGTTTCCAGTTTGATCATAACAGTGAATAATATTCTTGAGATGCTTTACTCTCTTATGTTATGATGGAAGAAATTTCTTACATTCTAGAGGAACTTAACACCTTTCAGTTTTAGTGTACATCTGGTGAAAGTCAGATTGGCTGTTGTGTTATAACCTGTACAACTGGCCAGTCTTTGGAGTTTTAACATCACTGGAGATTCATAATTAGTGGGGTTGATGTAGGTGAAGTTGGCAAAAAGTAAACCTGGCCTGAACAAAAAATGGCTCTTCCAAGAACTGAAATAGATAACATGACATGACATGTCATGTCATCTTTGAATGTATTCTTGTGACTTCAGTGCATTTATAACTTTTTCATTGTAAATCGGTCTTCAGTACTTACGAGCCTGAAATTGAGCTGGACTTCAGTAGCCTCCCGATCTTGTGGACCTTAATTTTGGGCTAGCATTTTTGTGTCCAGAATGTGAATAGTATAGCCCCCAAATTTATACCATGTTCTGTCACATCCAACTTTTCAATTAAATATGGCATTAGTTTTCTACATCATGTTACATCATGTTTTCCCAGTGTAGTATGAACGTTATGGCCAAACTGAAATTGCTGACTTTGTAGCTGTTAAAGAAAAGTTTGTAAGTTTCAGAAATAGTGGTAAGAGGTGATGTATTTCCCCAAAACATTTGGTAATATTCCCAAGACTACATGGTGTTATGTCCGAGAAGATAGAACACTTGTAACAGCCAAGTCTATGATAAGTTCCAGTGCGGTGAAGTGTGAATTTGGTCATTAAGTCTTGTGGGGCACAGCAACTTCCTTTTTGTGAAGATGCATTGTGACGGGAGGGGAGGTCGCAGAAAAGTGGGAATAGGCTCGGTGAACGCAGCAGTCGCAGAAGTTTCTGTCTAATACCCCTCAGTAGGAAACATCAGGTGGGCGACTGAGCAGCGTGTGTTTGCTGTCGAAACGTATTTTTCAAATGACCGTTCCTACGTGGTGGTGCAGCGTGCATTCTGTACTCACTTCGGAATTAAGCCCAGAGGTCCGGTTCCCGACCAGAAATCGATTGTTTTGTGGGTAGAGAACTTTAGGACAAGCAGGAGTGTGGTAAAAAAATCATCAGGCTGACAACGGACTGTTACAATGCCCGAAAATGTGGAGGCAGTTCGACAGTCGATTTTGAGATCTCCAAGACGCTCTGCTCGCAAACATGCAGTTGCCCTAGACATATCCAATCGTTCATTGCACTGAATTCTTCACGAACATCTTAATTTCCATCCCTATAAGATGGTTGTTGTGCGAGAATTGTCACCACGTGATTTCCAGAACCAAATAACGGCATGCGAAACATTATTGGAAACTTTACCCCCTGACGCACTAATTTTCTTTAGTGATGAGGCACATTTTCACCTATCCGGATATGTCAACAAGCAGAGTATGCGCTATTGGAGTGGTAACAATCCCACAGAGCTCCATGAGAGGCCACTTCACAGTGATAAGGTGACAGTATGGTGTGTGTTGTCGAGAGTTGGAGTTATTGGCCCTTATGTTTTTGAAGAAGACAATCATGCAGTTAATGTCAATTCACAGCGGTATGTGGACATGATTAAAAACTTTTTTGAACGAGCTCTTGAAGAAATGGATCTAGGAAATGTCTGATTCCAACAGGATGGTGCCACGGCCCACACAGCCCGAGCTTCGATGACAGTTTTGAGGGCAAAGTTTCCCAGGCGGCTCATCTCGCTTCGAGGTGACATCCCATGGGCAGCGCACTGACCTGATCTGACGCCCTGTGTTTTTTTTTATTTGCTACCTCAAGGCAGAGGTTTTTAAACATCGCCCCACAAACCTGCTTCAGCTGAAGAAAATTCCGGTGCACCTGTTGGAACATGCAGAGGGGAATTTTGGAAAACGGTTGCATCATTGCATAGAGAACGGTGGCCACCACCTTCAAGATATTTTGTTTAAAATTACATGATATAAAACTTTAAAATATGTTCTTTCATTAGCTAAACATAAATTTTGTCTCTCAGCAATAATTTTTCTTTTATTCGCCTTCTAAAAAAGGAAGTTTCTGCACCCCACCCTGTACTTGGCGATTTGAGTAAACTTTTTTATCTTTGTTCATTTTTTCTTTTTTCAAAGAGACTTTATAGTTGTTACTGAGATGAATATTTTCTGTCATACCGATATTCTTCATATGATGAACTGCTTTTGAGAAGTCTCATAACATTTTGTTTTAGGTCAGAGAATGACAGTGAACACTATAGGTTGTATCCTATCATTCTTCTTCTCTTTCCCTTTAACATTTCATTGGCTATGCAGGGTGAACATTAACCAGATAATTTTTTATTCAGCCTGTATGTATATGTGTAAAACATTCTTGTGGGCACACCATTTCTGTCCATCCATCCGTCTATCTATCCATCTTTTTCTGCATATTTATAAATTTTTCTAATGATGTTTCTTCCATCTTTTAACTCCTAAATTCTTTGTTTTATTTTTATGAAATTCTTATATAAAACCTAATAAGAATACATATATTGACATAGCATTAACACTTTAATTCCTAGCATACCTCCCAGCTGTGCCATTTTTTACATTATGCTAGCAGTCTGTAGTATTTCATCTTAAGGAAATGAACACCAGATATTATGCATACCATATAATGACATAAAAGAACCACATGCTCAGAGTACATTCTGAAATAGAACTTTTTGTCATATCATGGCATATTGTGTCTGACATGATAACTAACTTTGTGGATCTGAGCCTTTATTGAGAAGCTGTTAGTTGTGCAGCTACTCAGGAACTTCCCAACACATTATGGAACCTGAAGGTTCATAATGTTCACAAGAGCCCTCAACTGGTCCATATCCTGAGTCATACCAGTCCAATCCATACCACCCCATCCTATTTCTATAAAATTCTTAGGATATTGTAATCTGGACAAAGCACCAGTAATCAACCATTGTTGGATATGGCAGTAAAAGTTGGTGTTCATACCTTTTATGACTGGTGATTATACATAGGATACTTATAATAACTTCTTTACTACCAACCTGTTGGTAAATGAAGACCTGGGCAACCTTCATAGAGTCTACTAGACAGATACAATCCTGAGGCCAAAACAGGTGATTTACTGGTCTGACTTTATTACCAGACGATGACGACTGGCTACTAACTTTTAAGCATTTTGTATTTGCCTTGTTGAATATAGATGAAATAAAAGTCTCTGTTAGTTCCAGTCTTATGTTCCTTTGTGACAGAAACCAATTTTTGAAAATCTTGCTCTCTGAGTGTTAGCATTGCTGTGACTTCCCCCAGAGCTAACTGAGAAGGCAATATGGCAACTAAGTGTGCACCTACATCCAAACAGAGATTGTCTGAGACTTATTTCTCTTGCACTGAAAACAAAGCAATTTTCCAGATTGGATGTAAGGATGCAAGGCTGAATGGGTAGTTTAGTGCAGATGTACAGCATATTGCATTTGGGAGTTGGTGGACCATGTTTATCATTTTCTATTTATTAGAAGAACTA